GGGAGAAACTGGGCGTAGTGGGGTGCGTCTAGACTCAGAGGCAATCGGTTTTTCAGTCTGTTTGTTTGAGAGTTTTTCAGCAAATGAAAATAAATTGTGAACATTAGTATATGTAACCTTCGTGCTATTGTTGTTGTTGTTGTTTTTTTTTTCTACTTTTACCGTGGTAACTTGCACTGTAAAGTGAGGACTCTTTTAAGGGGCGCTTCAACGCGATGGTAATGTCTTTTTCCCCTTCATTTTTCTTTGCAGTGTGGATGACAACGATGTTCCGTTACTGCTGGCAGTAGCTAGTACCCATGCTCCTCAGAGTATGACACTTGTAGGCTGAATACGAAATCGTCGCGTGACCTTGCATGACATGGAGTATCACGCTTGACAAGATTCAGTTGGCCCTTGAGTGATATACGTGTTCTTTTAGCATCATCATCTCCACACGGATGCTGTATTGGAATCTCTATTTTGCGTTATTCATCGACGCCATACTGGAACAGAAACATTTTGTGTAGAAATATCCACTCGTGTTACATTCAGACGGATATTATCGCAACATAACCTCTACTGGTGTGACATTATTCCTCGGAAGCAACTCATTAAGTAACTTTTACCAGTCTGTGGGTAATTTTAAGTCCTTAACTTAGAAATGGGACTTTACCGGGCCTTTTCAAAGTGTTTATGACATAGAACCAACTAGATTCGTTTAACACAAATTACCACTCTATTACACGGGTGGATTATAATGAATTCAAAATATACAGCGGGATTTGGAACAAATTCGCGGGGGCAGAAAGCTAGGGCCGTTACGAAATTGGTAGTCGCTTGTGAGGAGTACTTTTCCACTTCCATGCTTTCGCGAATGTGAAAGATAATTTTTCTCATTCTGTTTTTCTTTTCGTACAGTACACTAACAAATCCGTCTCACGCTCGCTTGTCAAGACTACGCTACCTCTTTTTACTGGGAGAATGTGTAGGGATACATTTTTACTAGCATAGTACCTCACAGAAAACAAAGCTGCGCAAATTGGTTGCAAGCCACGCTTATCAAGGTATAAATCTGTTGTTTTCTATGGATTATTTCAACGAAAATAGTCTTGCCCATGTATTTCTAAGAGATAAAAAATTTTTTTGTAATGGGAAAGAAACAGTATTGACCCGAGATTATCGTCAGTTATCTTCCCATGGGAGAAACTGTCCTGCATTTCTCGCTTGCCTGATGAAAATTTTAGGAGAAGAGTGCATCGTAATCCGCGTCGCTCATATTTATTACTAAATGCAGCTATTTTCGTAGCGGCCGTATATTAAATCGTAGAATTTTATCGGAAATAAATGAGGAGAAATACGATCTTGTATTTTGATTTTGTGTTTGGAGGCTGCTCCTCTTGGCAATTTTTAGCTAACCAGGATGGAATTAAACTTTCTGTAGTACAAATTGAAGTTTTCCTTTCAAACTTCATAAAAACTTAAAACATTATTTCATCTCTGACCCAGTCTCTTTCAAATTCGTGGCCACAGGGTTGTGGAAGACTAGAACTACCAAGATTAAGTAGACGTCGGTAAGAAGAGAAACAGAGGTTTTGTCTCATCCAAGCGAATCTCTCGCGGGTTTATTTCGGTAAAATCGAAAACTCGAGAGGCGACTGAAGACGAGTAAGTGAAGCGAGTTTTCGAGAGTGTTGGAGCAAGAAAGAAATAAAACAAGGACATAGAAATCGATACTTTTATTCCTTATGCTTGAAAGTATACGAGGCTTGGCTTGGTCCGCTGTTCTGAATGCTGGGAACATTGAAACTATACGGTTTCATTCAGTTTTTTTTCTGAAGATAAATTGGTTTGTAGTGGTTGGGAATTAGCCATACGGTCCTAAGCCTAAGCCTTGTAATTTTGCTTTAGAAACCTGGTAAATTCAAGTTTGGTTTGATTGCCATTCAATAACCTACTTTCTAGCCTCGCTTGCTCAAGCCGTAATGGGGAATATTGGCCCTCGGTCGTTATTGTACGCACCTTGCTGCACCCAGTCTGCACTACCAAAACGTCGGGTCAATGTTCCCCAATACGGCCCCCGCGCTCTTTATCTGGGTGCTTTTGAACTAATTAGGCCCAAATACTAAGGTGGGTGGGCAAAAGTAATAAAAAATATATTAAAATATGGTTCTTTTCAACGCAAAGCCCTGTCATGTGCCACGCGTCCATTTATGTGTTCACCGTACGAACCGGAGATATCTCAAATTTTGCGCAGAACTGACCTGGTTTGAAGTTAATTTAGTCATATGGCTTACAAGTTACTCAGTGATATCTGAGCCAAAACACTCCTTGAGATGATGAGACGAATTCCATTTTCTAACACTCTCAATTCGTCATTGTTTAACTTTATTTGTCGGATACATGTATTTATTTCCTAGCATTCGTTGTTTACCAATTGCAATATTGGGACATGCACTGTTCAAAATTTGGGATTTCAAATGCTAGGGCGGGTCGAGCAAAATAATAATGCGAACTGCGCGGTTCTTGACTGTGCAAAGCCCAGTCAATTGCAGCATATCCATTGTTATCTTTCACGTTCGATTTTGCTTTTTTTCGTACGAGAAGTTCAACGATCTCAAGTCTACCATTTCCAGCAGCGATCATTAAGGGCGTATACAGCTGACCTGTTGTTGAGTCAATATCAGGCACGTGATTGAGAAGTAGTTCAATAACAGCGGGACTTACTCCTCTAGAGGCATGATGCAACGAGTTCCATCTTCTCTTGTCTCTTAGCGACGGATCAGCTCCCTTTTCCAGTAAGTACTTTACAGCCTGTAGGTTGCCATAGTAACCAGCAATCATTAATGGTGTCTCACCTCGGTTGGCCCTGGGGTCGATTTCTTCCATGTCACTGAGGAACAGTTCTATGACAGCGGTATTACCACCTCGTGCGGCATGGTGTAAAGGTTTCCAACCATTGTCGTCTTCCAACGAGAGATCTGCTCCTGATTTTAGAAGATACTTCACGGCATTTAGACGGCCGTTATCAGCAGCAACCATAAGAGGAGTGAAAGCCTTAGGAGCGCGTAAATCAATATCTGCCACGTGACTGGCTATGAGATCAATGATATCAGGATTACCCCCCTGTGAGGCAAAATGTAATGAGTTCCATCCACTGTTGTCTACTAACGACATATCTGCTCCGTTTTCAATTAGACATTTAACAACCCGTAGCTTGCCATTAAAAGCGGCAATCATCAGTGGTGTTTTATGAGTGCTTTCTTGCGAGTCAATACAAATTCCACCAGAGAGGAAAGATTCCATTTTGGTGATATCACCGTCTCTTGCAGCAGTATGGAGCTGATTCCACTCTTTCTTCTCTTTGCCCACAGAAACGCGGCCTGAAAAAGTTAATAGTTTTGTAATCAGTAGATCATTTTATAGTAAGCGAGAGATTATAAACTAATCTCTTGTACATAGCAAGTGAAAAGAGATTGCTCCTTATGTAGTTTAATCTAAAGACAGATAGGGCTAGTTATGTCAAACGAGGTCTAACCCAAATCTATGAGAAGGTTGTCTTGATTAAATAAATGTCATTTCGACTGTTAGTTCTCGGCCCTCTTGACACTGTTCACAAAAATAAATGTACAGAGAAGAGTTTCGGCTAAAATGAAGATAGTTCAGAACACGGTTTTGTTAAACAATGGTTAAACTTTGTTTGATTAAACTGAACCGGCCCATAGCCTTGCATGTCTAGATTTATTATAGTACTTCTGTCAGCTTTTCCTGACAATTGGCCGGTTAACAATAATACTCCCAGTTAGAAAGACGCCCTTCGAAGGTAACGAACAGAGAACAGTGAATCAGCCAGGGCTCGAACCTAGTCCCTTCGATTTAAATGAATAAAGGTTGATAGTTTCTAAAGAAACT